GGCGTCGGAGCGCGGCGTGGCGCGGAGGCCGGCGAGGCCGGGGGGGCTGACGGGCGGCGCTGCGCAGCCGGTAGGTGCCGCGACCGCGCCGTCCTCGCCCGCCGCTCGCTCGGGTTCAGCGCCTCTCGGGGCTTCCTGGGCGCCTGGGCCGCCGGCGCGTCCGCGCGGGCCGGGCCTCCGACTAGCGGGGAGCCGGGCGCAGGAGCGGGGAGCCCCGAGCGCGCGGTGCCCCCGGGCTCCAGGCCAGGAGCCGGATGGCAGCTGTTTTGTGTCGGCGTTTTCTGAAGGCGGCGAGCGCGTTTTGCTTTTCAGCTCCGAGCAGTACGAGGCTTTTTATTCGGGGGGGGGGGGGAATAGGTGAACGAATGTCTGCACGAAGTAACTTGGGACACGGGGGTGTGGGGAAGCGGGAGAGGGGCCGCCTCCGTAAGCGTTTGGGGAGTTTCCTTCCGGAACTCAGTTTGGAGAGAAGGTTTGGGGAAGGTGGAATTCGGCCTCGGGCTGGGACTCCCGCCGTGGGGGTCAGCGACTGGAAGTGTCCAGGCACCGGGCCCCCGGCCAGCAGGAGCCCAGAGCTCCGCGCTGGTGCCCGCTGGGTGCCCTGCGCCCGGGGCTCCAGGCCTCTCTGGCTCGGTCCTGCCCGCCCGGGAGACACTGCGCCAGTTACTGGCTGGGAACATTGGAACAAAGGCCTCCTAAGTCCGAAACCAGAACTGGCCAAGACTTCAGGACTGCTGGCGCCCGCCTGGGGAGGGTCTCAACTCAGACTGAGCCGGGCAAGCGGAAAGGGAGGAGCCTGAGAATCAGGAGAAGGTTTTCAAATCTCAGCTCCGTGATTTCCCCCACTAAGCCTCGCGCCTAAGCATGTCCACCCCCTTACCTCCTCACAAAACTAGTGTCCCCACTGAAGATCGCGGGTTCCTAAGACCTGGATCCAGAGCTACAAGCTTCACTTTTAGCCTGCAGCCCGCCGAGGCCTCCTGGAAGGGGTGGAGCGCCTCACTAGGGCGCGTGTGTCTCACAGCTCCACGAGGACACTGCTCACTGCCATCCCCGTGTCCTGGATGAGGGGACAGAAACCCAGAAGGCTTGAACAGCTTGCCCGTGGCCTGCAAAGAGCTTTTCCGCTCTACTAAGGAGGAGAAAATCCGTTCAAACTCAGGTCCATCTATACCAACATCTAACCCATGGCAAATGGTTTTGGTCACTTGCTGCTGCCACTCTGACGGCCAAGTGCTGTATGCCTGTAATCTCACAGCCCCCATTCATTCCTTATTCATTCGACTAATTCTTACCGCTGTTATGTACAAGGTCCTGAGCAGGGCGAGGGTCTGCACCGGTTAGTAAAGCGGGAATGCCCCTCCTCCAGGGAGGTAAGTTCACATTAACCTCTGTAGAAACGTGAGGAAACGGGCTCCAGCAGCAACATGATTTGTCTGAAGTCACACAGCCAGTCGCAGGGAAGCTGGACCAGTGCTAGGACCATGTGCCTCTGGACCCCTCTGGCCTCGCACACCAGGAGGAGCAAAAACTGAGGAGGGGACTGCAGGGGAGGCAACGGGGCCATTTAGGGATGGGGTGAGCACCGCGCCCCCGCCCTTGAGAAGACCCCAAGTAGGAGCGTAAAGGCTCACACCTTCATGGACAGTAGCCTTGTGTTGTCCCACGGTATTTCAGAATTTCTTAATATTAAAATAGCACACACCTCCAAAGACATTTGGAGCAATTGAGAATAAAGTGGGGGAACCCTAACCCATAACCCACTTAACCACAAGCAGTTGTTGGGAACTTCTGGAGGTGTCCCTTCCAATCTTCGTAACGCATAGTTTGTATGTGTGTCTTTGTTTTACACCCTCGTGATTGCACTGACGACTCCTGTCCTTAATCCCATTTTTTTCTCTTGAATGAAAATCTTTAATGAGCTTACATGGGTTATCAGGACTGTGGCAGGCACAGTGTGCTGGACTTTCCATACCCTAAGACTCTGTTCTCGTTCAGACACGAGGAAACCAGGCAGAAAAGCAGGGGTCAGGTCTGGCATCTGAGCTGGCCTGGGATGGAAGGTCCCCTATGTGGAAGAACGCATGCTCAGCCGTGCCTGCACCTGAGGTGGTTACCTGCGCCCCACCTGGAGCTCAGGTCCGCATGAGGAGGAAGCCATCCTTCCTCCTGTAACGGGCAAAGGTGCACCTCCCCTTGACTGGTTCCTCCCGAGAGCCGGGTGGCAGGCACAGCCTCTGCCTCCCTGTCCGCCAAGTAGGGCTGCCTGCTCAAACACAGGGCACCCGGGGAAATTTGAATCTCAGATAAACAACTAGTAACAATTTAGAGTAAGTGTGTTCCAAAATGTTACATGGGCTATATTTGTGCTAAAAAATTGTTGCTTATCTGAAATTTAAATTTAAGTGGGAGTGTTGCATTTTTATTTGCTAACCACACTGCCAGGAATCCTGGAAGTTTGCTTGGCTTGAGAAGCTATGGTCTGCCCACGTTCTTCTACACACACACACACGCACACACACACACGCACACACATTGCTCTCACACCCCTAGATCCACAGTCCTGCTTTTGTCTGGCTATAAGAGAATGGAAATATGCATGGGATGGGGGGGTCCCCCCGGGGTCTTTCTGCAGCTTGGAGACCAAATTAGCCTTGCTAAATCATGCCTAGGTGGAGAGGCAGTTTTGTGGGACAGGACTCTTGGATCCTGCCCACCCCTCCAGCTTTCCTGGGTTCACACTCCAAGTCCTTGCCCCATGAACACTTCCCGGTTCAAACTTGTTCCAAAGGCAACTCAGGGCGCTGTTATAATCTCCCCAGGATCCCTTGACAAGTCTTCGTGCCGGCAGAGTATGTTTGGAGTGGCATGGGAGGCTCGCAGGGGATGGACAGTGGTTTTATCCCAGGGACATTTATGGCGGCTCCTCAGAAACCTCACTGCAGCCTTGGAGACTTAGACTGGATGTAGGGCCGAGGCGGAAGCTTTGAGGGGCCGTGGGAGCTTCTTGGCTGATGTCTGTGTGCCCCCATAAGCTGGTCCAGGCGCCAACCTCTCCCTTGGAGAAGAGGGCAGAAATGAAAGGAAGGCTGTTTGGGAAGGTTTTTCTGCAGGCTGCACCCCAGCTCCCGTCACAGCTGCCTTCCCCGGCCCCATTAGTCCCCTTCCTTTGGGCTCCTCTGGTTCCCAGGAAACCTGACAGGAGGGAAACTGGGGTGCTCAGCCTGAGATCCCTTCAGTCCGCAGCCCAGCACAGGGCGAGCGAGAGCTCAGTGTCCCCAGTCCTGTGTGTCCTTATTTAGTGTCTTAGGGACCCTGTCTGCTTGTCCCGTGGCACTCAAGCACCTGGAGCGCTCTTGGGAATTCAGTAGGTACTCAGTAATGGTCTAAGTGAGCAATTCATACAGGACAACAAAGATACAAACTTGCGTTTCAGTGCCTCTGTTCAGGTGTGGTGTGTGTCCTGGGCCTCCTAACCTTGCGGCCAACCACGATTCCAGGGGAAGTACGCAAGGTTGGACAAAGGCCCAGGCTAGGTGGTGGATGCCCGCTTCCTCACTGTGGGCAAAGGATAATGCCAAAGGCTGGAAGGACTTCCAGATTTCCAGGTGAAAGCCAGTTCTGAAACTGGGGGAGGCTTTCCCTTCCTGCAAGCACCCACACCCAGATTGGCCTTAGGGGTCCGCCCTTCTCCCCGGAACGCTCTTCGCTCTTCCTGGTACGGTGATGGTGCAGACCTCCCCACCACCTTGTTACTCTCCTCCACATCCGACACACAGAAGCTGAGGCCGCGAGGCTTCGGTGACCACCAGAGGCTGGTGCTTGAGCCCAGCTGGCCCAGGAGCTGCTTGGCCCCTGACACTCAGCTGCCACCCTCTCCTGGGCCGTGTGCCCCGGCTCCTCTGTGAAACTCAGAAGACATTCAGGGTATCACACAAATGTGTATAAAGTTTCTGACCACAGTAGACGACCCTCTGTTAGACACAGGGAAGTTTCAGAGAACAGCCTCACTCCAAACAAAGCTTGGCATGTTTCTTATTCCTCATCAGTTCGACAAAATAGGTATTTATTTGTGCCTTGGACATGCTGTTCTGCGTCATGGAAGTGGCCGTGCATGTTGCTATAGTAACAGTTCCTTTTTATTGATACCAGAATAAACAGGAATGCTGAGCAGCCTCACTTGTTGGCTGGTTTCGCTGCCTCCCATCCCAGGGCTTTAAGAACCACCCTTTGGAGGCAGCCCTGGGGCCAGTCTGGGGCTTCTCAGTGGAGCTGGGGCGGCAGCACTGCTGCCTGCTGCCCTTCCCAGGACCCAGCGTGAGAAGTAAGACTGTTTCTGCTCTCTTTCACCAGCCTTCATCAGGGTGCTGTGCCGGGAGGAGGCGGAAGGGGAGGAGGGCAGCCTTCGGGCACTGCAGGGGCCAGGAGCAGGCTGAGCTGTTTGACGGAGATATCTAAGGTGCCGGGGCCTCGGCGGGGGGGAGAATCCTTCTGACACCCTGGGTTTAGGGAAAGAACAGCGTCCTAGTGGGCACTCTGATGCAGCCCTGCATTCCTGTTGATCTTTTGCTTCCAAATACTCAGAGATGGGTGGGGGATTTAGCTCAGTGGTGCCGGCACCTGCCTGACAAGCGCAAGGTCCTGAGTTTGATTCCCCGGTGCCGAAAAAGAAAAAGAATGCTCATAGAAATCTGAGTGGATGCACAACATGGCCTCACCTAGATCCATTATCACACAGGATGGTGGCGTTTGTCTAATAACGGATAGACAGAAGGCCAGGGTGCTGCAGGGTGTTGCAACTGGAGATCACAGGTTTTAGCAACAGACAGCTCGACTGAGATTCTAGCTCCTTCGTTCCCTGGCCGTGTGACCTGAGGAAATCAGATAACCTCTCAGCCCGGAGGTCTTTGTCTATCAAGGGGCTAATGCTATACCCACCTCCTCGGTCTGCTGTACGAATTCCATGGGACGCAGCTGCTAGGTCGAAGCACCATGTGCGGCACAGCGGGAGTACAGTGGTGAGGGCCTGTTGGACACGGCGGTGTAAGGCGCGTCTGGGATTGGGCCGGAATCGGGCACTGTGGGACTGGCTGTGCCACCACCCCTGGGTGCTTTCTGACTCTGAGACGGAGCCTCCCTCCCGGGGTGGTTCGGACCCTGAGAGGCTCTCTTGGCTCACAGGCAGTCGTACCGACCAGGGTCTTCCCAAAGCCTGGCCTGCTGATGCTTGTTCCCTGCTCAGTGGCATGGCACTGACCACCCGCACTGCTGAGGACCCCCAGGTCCAGCCTGGGCCGTACTATGGGATTGACTCAAGCCCCCAAAGGCCCCCAGCCCTGCTCCCACAAAGTAGGAAGCTGTGGATCAAGCAGAGTGGTCAGGAAGTCTGTCTCAAGTCATCACATCAGATGAATGAACAGCTCTGCCGGGTCTTCCAGGCATTGGCCAGAGGCTGCTGGCAGATCTGGAGGTGGCTGGAGACACACTGACTGCTCTGTGGCCGCCAGCCAGAGAAACCCAAGTGGGAGGGAAAAGGCAAGAAGAGTGGGGAAATCCAGCGGCCATGCTTGTCACTGTTCTGAACGCTTCCTTCTCCCTTGCCAGCCATTACTGTGAAAGCCCGTCTTCTCCTCTCCCTGCTACCTTGGCAGTTCTGGGTAGGGTGGGCAGTGAAGGCTGGCCGACTGCCCAAAGGGAAGCAACCTGTGGGCAGCCGGGCCTGTGGATTCTGGCTCCAATCTGAGGCTGCCAGCGTGGGCCACGGTGCCCCAAGGGGGTCTCTGCTTCTTAGGGGCTCACAGTCCTCTGGTTACCAGGCCTCCCTTTCCTTGTCTCTAAAATGGGCTCCCAGTGCCTCTTCACTGCAGTTTCCTGAGTAGACAGAGAGGAGAGGGAAGCTTCATCCCCAGAGAAACATTTTGCACCTGCAGACTGGCATGGTAGCAAGAGCTCTGCCGGGCCTTGGTTTTCATCCATGAACTCTTGGGTGATGACAAGACCCAGGCCAAGTGTCCAGTGCTCGGCACAGGGCCCTCAGGTCAACAGGGCAGCAGTTTGCATGCCTGAGCGCCGTTCTGTCAGGCCCGGGCCTCACACATCTGCACGTGGTATCATTTCAGCCTCCAGACGACCCCGAGTCCCACTGTCCCCTGTGCAGTGTAGAGGCACATGGAGGGAAGGTGAGCCATTTGCCTGAGGCCACGCAGCTACGAAAGGGTGCCGCTGAGCGTGTCTTAAATCCAGTCTGTCTCCTCTGAGACACCTGCTCCAGCCACGGAGCTTTACTGGCTTATGTGTCATTTGTTGAGATGGAGGCCATCGAAGACACAATCGGAACCACCAGAGCAAGGGACAGAGAGGTGGAGGGGCCGTTAATGCCTTAGCCTGTGGTCCCACAGCCAGTCCAGGATGGAGAGGGACCTGGAGCCCCACCAGTATAACTGCTTTCCCATCCCTCCTCCCTGGTACCAGGAGGGCCCAGCACTTAGTTTCAAAGCCTCTGCCTTAACAGCAGCTGTGCACACCCCTGCTGAGCCTTACCTGGTGTTTGGTCTCTGGGGTCATCCGGAGAACCAGGGAAGAACCGAGCAAGGGGCTGCAGTCTGTCCTCCAACCTCTTGTTAGCCCTGTCTGAGTAACACGGTCACTCCCTGGTCTGCATGCTAGCGGGAGTTACTCCCCAGGAGAAGCCCTCACTTTGGCTGTCACCTCCGACCTCTCTCAACCCCATGCCCAGCACCTGAGTTCATCCATCTTCAGCACCTGAGTGTACAGAAGAGGGTCCCCCGGGATAAAGCCATCCAAGTCCCACAGCTGCTACGAGCTGCTCACAGACCTGCTCGAGATAACCAGGCCAAACCACTTGGGCCAAAGCCGAGAAGTTTGGTTGCTTGGGTTCTTTGCTTAACTCCATGCTTTGCAAAGATGTCCTGCTGTTGGAATCACCTTGAGAGTTTTACAAATTTCAGAGGCCGTGTTGCCCCCTAAGCCAGTTAAATCCAAATCCTTGTGGTGGGACTTGGGCACTAGCACAGCGCCGAAGTTCAAACCCAGGTCTGAGGGCCCCCAAGGTCGGTCTCTCTGCAGTATCTATCTCTGCCCATCTCTAAGGGATATTAGCTGCCATTTAACTTTCTCCTCCTCCTTCAGCCAGTTCCTCTCCCCTAAAGCTTAGCGCTCCTTAGGGTTCGTTCATCTTTTCTATTTCCAGAGGTGACCTGTTAATGACCACCTCCCTCCCAGGCCCCCCGGCCCCGTGGACAGTCTAGATTTTCTTGTGCTTTGAAGTTTCCAGGTGCTCGGCAAATGCTTAGGGCTGGGCACTGGCTACCAGGGCTGCCCACACAGCAAGGCAAGCGAGCAAGTTGGCCGCTGCACAACTTCAAGGCTTCTTCTGAGAAAGCCTCTTTGTGACAGGGCCTGAGTGAGGTTCTTCTACAGAGAAGCCCTCGCTAAATTAAAAGGCAGCAAGGCTGGCAGCCCGGGGAGTTTCCTACAGGCCTCCCCTGCCCACCCCACAAGGGTCTCACATGTGCTGCTTGCTGGCGCTCCACACCTCCCTACCGAGTGGAAAAGCAGCAGCTCTTTCCTGACCTGCAGCTCCGGGTTACTGGACCAGCCACAGCTGGCCATGGTGCTGCGCACCTATAATCCCAGCACTCTTAGAGGATGAGGCAGGAGGTTGCCGGTTTGAGCTCCTCCTGGGCAATTTAAGGACTTACCAAGACCCTGTGTCAGAAGTAAAACAGAGAAACAGTCTGGGCGTATAGCTCAGTACAGAGGCCTTCAGTTCAATTCCCAGGACTTAAAAAAAAAAAGAGTAGCCAGCCACATCCTTCGGGATCCTACCCCGCCTGCTGTACCACCATGGCTCACTGCTGATTTCACCGGAAGGGGAAGAGGGCCTGGGGCCGGTCCTCGCACCGGGACTGGCCGCTGATCAGATGTGGGGTGCTAGACTACGTCATCGGCAGGGCCCGGCGCATAACAGTTTGCAGGGCCATTTGTTCAGAACATATTAGGAAGTTAAAGACAGCAACCACACAAGGCTAAGCCAGACAAGACCCCTCTTCGCAGGTCCCCGGTGTGGCCGAGTCCTCCTTCGTAGGGCCTGACCCTGGGTCAGTGACCATGGGGGGTCTCTCTGCCAGGCCAGTCAGAGGTTTTCTCTCCTGAGTTTAGTGGCAAAGAGAGACAGAGATTGCCCACAGGCAGTGACGGAAACCAAAGTCCTAAAAGTTCCCCAAACCTGCTGACAGTTTTCCTCACATAGAAGCCAGAATGACCTTTTAAAATCCGAGTCAGCCGGGCTCTTTCTGCAACTGGAACCCACCCGGGAAACCACCCGTCCCTTCAGTGTGAGCCCTGCTGGCATCCGTGCCTCCCAGGCACACTGTGCCTTTGTGCTGGCCGAACAGACCCAGCTTGTCCAAGGTGTGGGAGTCGGGCCCATGCAGACTCCCCCTTGGGTCCTGACCTCGGCTTGCAAATGTGGCTCCTCCGAGGCCTCCCCTGCACCTGGCCGAAGTGGGTCCTGCATTCTACCATCAGAGCTGCCCCTTTGCTTCAGGAGCTGGGCACCATTTGTGATCGTGTGTGTGTGTGTGTGTGTGTGTGTGTGTGTGTGTGTGGTCACTGCCCCTCCTCCGGCTCTGTGAGAGCAAGGAGCTTGCTTGTTGAGTCCCTTCCGTGTGTCCAAGGTCTACCATGGGACTGGCAGGTTCCGGGGACTCAGACATAGGGGAGGGCATGGCTGCTCCACTACTACTGCCTCCCCAGTAGCCGCCAGTAGTCCTCCTCCCTGCTTCCTCCCCAGTAGTCCTCCACCTGGGTAATTATTCTGTGTCTGGCACCATTGCTGAATCCGTGTTCCCAGTGTATTGCTAGGTGCATAGCTGTACCTTTTTCAAATATTAATTTTGCCATGTCCTTTCCTAAACTTATACTTAGCTTACTTCTGTTTTCTGCCTTATACTTTGGCAACATACAGTTTGTTCTTTTAAAGGTGGCTTGACTAATGAAAAGCATGTATCTCTGGAAGATCTGGGGCACAAACAGACTAAGGACAGGAGAATAACCAGGGAGTCACAGCAGGCATTATACTGTGGTGTGGCTGGGCATGGCAGC